GCTTTGACACTACCCTACTCTGGGGAGAGGGTCCCAGGGCTGGGAGAGGGGAAAGCACACACTTAAAGGAAACTGAGGTACCTTGGGGATGACCTTCATGGCTTTTGCTTCAGCAACTTGGGATCAGACCCCAGCCCTGATAGGGCCAATATGTCCATCGAGCAGAGAGAAACTCTTGCCTTACACCCAGCTCCAGCTGAAGCCCCTCCATCTCCAGCCCCATCCCCTACCAAGGTGATAGCTGCCAGCACACCCTAAGGAAAGACATGACTTGCATACAGGACAAATCCAGCTCTGCCACCAAAGGCACTGAACACACACAGTCTGTATAGAAATGTTTCCATATAAGAACACCCTCAAGACTGAAACAGGTAATTGTTTCACATAATTCATAGAGGCAGAGAAAGTTAAGCAAAATGAAAAGGGAGGGAAATATTCTCAACTGAAAAAGCAAGAGAAAAACCATGAAATAAAATAATGAAACAGAAATAAACAATTTACCAGATAAATAATTCAAAGCATTGGTAATAAGAATGTTAACTGAATAGGGAAACTAATAGATAGACACAGTGAAAATTTTAACAAGGAACAAGAAAATATAAAAAAGACCCAATCAGAAATGAAGAATTCAATAACTGAAATAAAAACACAGTAGAAGGAATGAACAGAGTAAGTAATAGAGAAGAATCATAAGTGATCTGGAAGATAGAAGATTGGACATCACCCAATCAGGGCAGCAAAAAGAAAAACAAGTTTTAAAAAAAGTGAAAACAGTTTAAGAGAGCTCTGTGATAATGTTAAGCATACCAACATTTGTATTATAGGGATCCCAGAAGGAGAAGAGCGAGAGAAAGAGATTGAAAATATATTTGAGGAACTTATGGCTGAAAACTTCCAAAACCTGAAGAAGGAAACAGATATCTAGATATAGGAAGCACAGAGGGTCCCAAACAAGATGAAGTGAAACATAGACCTATACAAAGACAAATAATTAAATGGCAAAAGTTGAAGATAAAGACATAATTCTAAAGGCAGCAAGAGAAAAATAAAGAGTCATATACCCTGAAATGCCCATAAGGGTATCAGGAAGGAAATAATAAAGATCAAAGAGTAAATAAATAAAACAGAGACAAAAAACTAGAAAAAATCAATGAAACCATGAGCTGGTTTTTTGATAAAGATAAACAAAATTGATAAACCTTTAGCCAGGCTCACTGAGAAAAAAGAGAGGAGACAAATAAAATCAGAAATGAAAGAGGAGAAATAACAACCAATACCAATGACAAACAGTTACATGCAAACAAATTGGACAATCTAGAAGAAATGGACAATTTTCTAGAAACAAATCACCTCCAAGACTAAATCAAGAAGAAACAGATAACTTGAACAGAATGATCACTAGTAGTAAATTGAATTTCTAATAATAATAATAATTTTTAAAAAACTCCCAGCAAACAAAATCTAGGATCAGATGGCTTCATAGGAAAACTCTACTAAACATATAAGGAAGAGCTAATACATATACTTCTCAAACTATTCCAAAAATTGAGAACAGAACACTTCCACATTCATTCTATGAGGCCACCATTACCCTGATACAAAAATCAGACAAAGACACTACCAAAAAAAAAAAAAGAAAGAAAGAAAATAAGACACCAACATCTTTGATGAATATTGATGTAAAAATCTTCAACAAAATATTAGCAAGCCAAGTCCAACAATATATAAGAAGGATCATATAGCATGATCAAATTGGATTTATTCCAGGGATACATGGATGGTTCAATATTTGCAAATATATCAATTTGATACACCACATTAACAAAAGGAAGCATAAAAATTACATGTTCATTTCAATTGACACAGAAAAAGCATTTGACAAAATTCAACTTCCATTCTTGATAAAAACTCTCATCAAAATGGTGAAAGAGGGAACATATCTCAACATAATAAAGGCCATGCATGGCAAACCCACAGCTAACATCATACTCAACAGTGAAAAGCTGAAAGTCTTTCCTTTAAATTCAGGAACAGAAAAGGATGCCCACTTTCACAAGTTCTATTTAACATAGCATTGGAAGGCCTATCCACAGCAATCAGACAAGATAAAGAAATAAAATGTATCCAAATTGGAAGGGAAGAGGTAAAACTGTCACTATTTGCAGATGACAATGATACTCTATGTAGAGAACCCTAAAGCCTCCACCCATAAACTATTAGAACTAATAAATAAATTGAGTAAAATTGCAGGATAAAAGATTAATATACAGAAATCTGTTGCTTTCCCATACACTAATAATGAAATATCAGAAAGAGAAAACAAACAAAAATCGTTTTAAAAATCACATCAAAAAGAATAAAATACCTAAGAATAAAATTAACTAAGGAGGTGAAAGACCTATACTTTGAAAACTATATAACATTGTTCAAAGAAATTGAAGATGATACAAAGAAATGGAAAGATATCTATGATCTTGGATTGGAAGAATTAATATTGTTAAAATGGTCACACTTTCCAAAGCTATTTACAGATGTAATGCAATCCCTATCAAAATACCCATAACATTTTCCACAGAACTAGAACAAATAATTCTAACATTTATATGAACCCACAAAAGACCCCAAATTGCTAAAGCAATCCTGAGGGGGGAAAAATAAGCAAAGCTGGTGGTATAACCTTCTCAGACTTCAGACTATACTCCAAACTACAGGAATCAAAACAGTGTAGTACTGGCACAAAAACAGACACATAGATCAATGGAAAAGAATAGAGGGCCCACAAATAACTCCATGCACCTACAGTCAATCTACTACAAAGGAGGCAAGAATATACAATGGAGAAAAGACAGTCTCTTCAACAAGTGGTGCTGAAAAAGCAGGACAGCTACATGTAAAACAATGAAATTAGAACACTGCCTCACACCATATGTAAAAAAAAAACTCAAAATGGTTTAAAGACCTAACAGTAAGGCCTGAAACCATAAGACTTTAAGAGAACATAGGCAGGATACTCTTTGACATAAATTGTAGCAATATTTTTTGGACCTGTCTCCTAAGGCAAAAGAAAATGGGACCTAATTAAACTTAAAAGCTTTGCACAGCAAAGGGAACCACTGACAAAATGAAAAGACAACCTACTGATGGGAGAAAATATTTGCAAATGATATGGCTGATAAGTGGTTAATATTGAACATATATAAACAGCTCATACAACTCAACATTAAAAAAACAAATGACCTGATTAAAAAATGGACAAAAGACCCAAAAATACATTTTTCTGAAATAAGACATACAGATGGTTAACATTAAAAGATTCTGAACATCACTAATTATTAGAGAAATGTGAATCAAAACAACGAGCTCTCACCTCACACCTGTCAGAATGGCTATCATCGAAAAGTCTACAAACAACAAATATTATCGAGGATGTGGAGAAAAGGGAACTCTTGTACACTGTTGGTGGGAATGTAAATTGATGCAGCCACTATGGAAAACAGTATGGAGGTTCCTCCAAAAACTAAAAATAGAACTGCCATATGATTCTGGTCCTGGGTATATATCTGGACAAAATGAAAAATTGAAAAATATATATGCACCCCAATGTTCATAGCAGCACTATTTACAATAGCCAAGATATGGAAGCAACCCAAGTGTCCATCAACAGAAGAATAGATAAAGAAAATGTATATATACAATGGAATATTACTCAGCCACGAAAAAAGAATGAAATTCTTCCATTTGCAGCAATGTAGATGGACCTGGAGAATATTATGCCTTGTGAAATAAGTCAGACAGAGAAAGACAAATACTGTGTGATATCACTTATATGTGGAATCTAAAGAATAAAACAAATGAATGTATATAGCAAAACAGAAACAGACTCATGGATATTGAAAACAAACTAGTGGGGAGAGGAAAGGGAGGAGGGGCAAGATGGGGTATCAGATTACAAACTACTATGTATAAAATAGATAAGCGATAAGGATACTTTGTACAGCACAGGGAATTATAACCATTATTTTGTAATAACTTTAAATGGTATATAATCTATAAAAATACTGAATCATTATGCTGTACACCTGAAACTAATATAATATTGTAGAGCAACTATACCTTAGGTTAAAACAAATGAGCAGGGAAATAAAGTTGTAGCTAGAAAGGGATGTGAGCACAAAGGAAAGTTTCTAAAGAAAGGTGGGTAAAAAGAAAACACTGATAAGGCAGAAGAAAGAGGGGACAGTTGTATGAGAGGTGTCCATGAGTATCTAAGAGGGATATAATGTAGGAGTGGACAGTGTAGCATTAGACATCGCATGGGTCCCTAGTCATAAGAAGGAAGACAAAGGATGTGGTGTAGGACAAAGTAATTTGAGGGATCTAGTGGTGGGAGCTTGTGGCAGTTTTCTTTAGACAGCTTCTTTTTTTATTAATGAAATAGGAAGCAAGTTCCTAAGCTGAGAATAAAGTTGGGGCACAGGTATTGAAGGTTTGGGGGGAAAGGAGAAGATGTGACACAGACATCTAAGAGGGTTAATGGATTAATGAAATACAGTGGAAACCATAGTAAATGCCCATATGAGATTAGTAATAAAACCTCAAGTTAGACCAGTCTATTTTTTTTTTTTTCAGTTGCATTCAGCAGTGGGGTGCCAGTTCAGGACAGAAGAAGAACTGGATTTAACCATGGCTATGGTTTTCTAGAAAAGTACAAGAGAGGGGAGAGGGAGCAAGATTGTTAAGGGTGTATACAAGGGAATGACTGCAGTGATGGACCATGGAATCTAAGCTGGGAAAGGAAAGAACAGAATCTTTAAAATAAGAGATGGATGAAGAACAACGTAAAGAATTGTTAGATTTGGGGTGATAGGGGGTGGACTTGAAAAATAGGGCGTGGCTGAAATTGAGGTAATGGAGGGAGTGTAGTTCTAGGTGATAAGATTACTTAATGTACAGCTCACAGCCTGCTGTCAGACTGTCTTGTGGGTGTTGCTTTCACTTACAGTACTGACATCTGTCTCCAGTGTGTTCAGGCTGGCAGTCGCAGTAAGGCTGGTTCCCAGCAGTAACACTGCAGGTCCCTCCATTCTGACAAAAATCCTCACAGACTGTCTTACCACAGTTTGGTCCAGTGAACCCTAGTGCACAGCTGCAGGTGGGTCTCCCTATTGGGAAAAAAAGGTAATGAAAAGGCAATTAGTTGACAAAATTGTTTACTTATATGGAATCTTCACTAGGTAAGAATCAAGAAGTCAGTATTTGGGGCAAAGTCTGTCCACTACTTAATCTGCGACTTTACACAGTAACATGACCTCTCTGTGTCTCAGCTTCCCCACATTCCAACAAAGCCTGGGTTAGAAGATCGCTCAGGTTCACTTCAGGTAAAATAATCAGAGCTCATTTTATGAACAATTATACATGCATACACACATTTTATGCTTTAAAGTGCTTGTGTTATTCTTTGTATTTCTGTTTTCATGTCCATTTTGCTTTTCAATTATTTTTGTTCTATTCATGTGGTAATGCAGATTGTGTTGGCCATTAGAATATAAAATAGAGACAATCATATTTCCCAGTGTTCAATCATCAGGTACCAATCACTGCTGTATCTACATAAAACATAAGCTTAGGCTTATTATAAATAAATATTTTAATAAGTTTAAAGTGGACATGTCATCTGTAATAAGATTTATGAATATTAGTTATTTTATTTGATATAAATACACATACTGAATTTAGTATATAAGCACTTACTGAATCCTATTTTATTTCATTTTATATTTTTATTCATGGTGAAGGACTGTCACTTGTAGTCTAAAGATGATTTAAGAAATCTAATGTTAATAGCACACAATAGCAAATCTGACAGATCATCTATGGATATTTTATTTGTTCTGTGGGAACTAACATCACAATGAAAGGTGAACAATCCTTTAAGGTGTTTTGAATGTAACACAGTTAACTGTTATATCAAGAATGAGTCTCTCTAACTGCCTGGACTGTCAAGAACTGAGTGGAAAATAGAGTCTAGAATTATCTCTGCAGGAGAAGTGAAGGAAAACAAAGCAAAATGAATGGCTACCATTTGTAATGGGGGCAGAATAAAGTTTAGAGGTTGTACAAATATAAACTAATAACATGAAAGGGAATAACAAAGAAATTCAGTTATTGATCTTAGTTAACTAGGACTCAGAAAATGTCATTTAGTTGTCTAGTATCAGAGAATATCCAACCATCTCCTCTCTCACCATTGTAGACATGCAACATAATTAGAATGGTCAGAAAAATGCATTAAGTGTAAGGCTTAAAACTTGAAGTGTAAAAGGATAAAAGTTTTTTTCTGTTGCCATAGATTCTACATTCTACTTTGAAGGACAATTCTATACATATATATTTTTGGAAAAGCATTCTTAAGTGAGTAAAACGTCTCCAAATAAAATCCACCTGCATTTCCAAGAAAATGAATAAATTGAGCTCCACAATTTATTTATTTAGTTTACTTTGAAAGGTCTCCACACACTTACAAATGCTAGAAGCTATTGCTTCTCAAGGAAGAAAGATATATACATTTTTACAGTGGGTACTATTGCTTTAAAACTTATTTATACATGTTTTTAGTTTGGTGGCAGATAAATGCCTATTAATAGGTTAAGAAACAAGGTAAAATTTATATACATTAAAAGCTGTAATGTGTATAAAATAACCTCATATTTTTTTATTGCCAGAAAACAGCTTTAAAACTTTTAGCTAAGTATTTTTCTTATAAAAGTAGTGAGTTTTCTAGCTGTTGCTTACATACAGACAAATAGACACAAACGAGAATAATGGTAGAAGATGAAGAGGATAGATAATTGTTAGAACATAGTCACTAAGGAAAATGAAAGCCCTGAATAAAAGAAGTAATTCATCTACATCAATGAGAACCAGTGAACAACTTCCAGAGAAATAGAACATACAATCAGGAACACAAATCAACATGAGCTAAATGTGAAACAAACAGTACAGAAAGTATAAGGGGAAATCAAAATGCATTAGAACAATCAGAAAAAGTGTCATACAATGTACAACTTATACATTGTAGATTTAAGTTTTTCTACCTTAATTTCTAGGTGTTTTTCTTTTTGTTTAAGAAACTAGGAGTAAAAAAAGTGAAAAGAAGTTTGAAAGAAATAAACCCAACCTGTTAAGGCACTTGAAAATTCCTCTGTTCCAGTCGCTCAGAGAGAGGACACCATGCTTTCATCTCATCTACAGTTGTTTTGAAACTAGGGCAGAGTGACCAGGTTGTCCCCCAGCTAGAATATGCCTCTCATCATTTAGATTCCAGCTGAATTATTTTCAAAAAGCTCCTCTTTCTCTTCCTTTGAAGAGATTTATTTTTGGTAAGTATAAATCTTCATATTCAGGAGAATATTATGTAACTTGAAACAGTGTGGTGATACAGCAGATCTTTTGTTTGCTGATGGGAAATGAACCATCAGCTGCAGAATTTTATAACGGGTTCCAGCTAATATTTTCAAGAATCGCTCTGGGTGCACCCTAACAAGTTGCACTGGATTCATTTTATAAATATTTTTTAGGTAGCTGAATTTGATTTTGACATTTGAAAAGGAAACAGCACTGTTACAATGACTAAGGTATGGATTTATAGCAGTGATGCATCCAGGGAGCTGGGGAGTTGACAGCCGGTAAAGGTAGCCCAATCAGAAAGAGCATCAATTGACCTGAGGAAGAAGGGGAAGGAGGGGTTTGCTGGCTCTAATCAGTCTAGTTCCTATAGCATTCTTAGCTAAGACTTTAACAGTGTAGGTTGTCAGACTGCCTGGATTCACAGACTATCTGTGCCAGTTACTGGTGTGGGACCATGCGCAAATATCAGCTCTCTGTTTATTTCCTCATGTGTAAAAGTGGGGATAATAATAGTACCTACTTCATGGGGTTGTTGTGTAGAATCACATAGAATAAATGAGAAACATTTCTCACTGTGCCAGGCACATAGAAAGCAATCAGTTACATTTTAGCTCTGAATATTATTGTTATTCCTGAGATTCACCACTTACAGGTATGACTTACTCTGTGACCCTGTCTACAAAGGCACTGTAACATTCTAGAAAAATCATTCTGAAAATTTTCTTAAATTACACACTTTATCTCCATTATTTATTTAAGATACAATTAAATTTGAATTTGTTTATGTGGCAGTGCTGGGATAGAACAGGTATTCCCCACAAACTTCATCTCAAACTCCAACATTTTTAAACTTTGAAGAATGGGTCCTTCTGTCTTCTTTATCTTCTAAATATGCTTAATCCTACACATTAAAAGAAAGAACACACACACAACACAAACAAAAACAAACCTAATATTTGCCACATCTATCTACTTGTATAACTTCAAATTTTGGTACATTCTCAAGCTTTTTTCAAAAGAAAGCTACACTTACTGCTTCCAATTCTACCAATATATGACAAAGTAAAATCCTCGATCATAAAGTCACATTCCAATCCTTCACTGGGTTTGTAGTTTTTATTTTTTAATATACAAAATAGTGGGTCAATCTGTTGCTTCTCTTTGTTCCCTCTGAAGACAGGCCAGATCTCTCAACATGTAAGTACTGCTCCTACAAATCAACTCTGATTCCCTCTTGGTAAGAAAGGAGTAGGAATGGAGAAGGTAATGTTGGTGTTGTCTTTACTGTATATCTGTGTACTCTTGCAAAGCTTACCTCTAATCTCTTAATTCCTAAATCTAGATTTCTCCTCAATCATCATCCTCCTCAAATTTTCTCCATAATTTTACATTTATTAATATCTACACTTGAAAATTTTATCTCCACTTGGCTTCTAAGACACTAGCATTGTGGATTTCCCTGTCTTTTTCTCTGACTGCTCTTTTATAATTGCCTTTATGTTCTCTTTCTATCTCTTTCTGGTGATATTATCCAGTTTCATGGCTTCAGTAATGATCTCCCTATATGAATGTCTCAGTCTCGATTTTTTGACTCTGGGCTCATTCTCCTTCCTAAATTTCAGACCTTCATTCTCACTCCCTGTTTTACGTCCCTGTGTGGGTATCTCTGCCTGTTCAACAGGTTCATCTACTCCTCCCATGACTCCCTAAGAGAGAAAATTCCTCTCATAAACATTGTCCTCAGTAGCACACATGATTTCACTAGACTGAAGGCTCTCCCAGTGCCATATTAAGTTCCACACTACACGTTAACAAAGTGCCTTGCTAGATGTATGCATATAATAAATGGAGGTTAATGTAGTTATATATTACTTCTGTTTATAGATAAATGGAAGCTTATCTCATATAAACTGTTGTAGCAAATTTTCATACAACATAAATTAATAATAAACTCTTGAAATTTAACTAGGTAACCAGTAATAGCTGATGTCAAACATGGTAAATACATAACTAGAATCACTAACCATCTATAGTCAATGATAAATATTAGTAATATCCGTTAGCACAACTGAAGATTATAATGTTCATAAGAAAAAATGGAAATGCCTTGGAATCTCATAGAGTTCTCTAAACTTCATTGTTCTTGCATGGCCCTTATATACCAAAAATCACGGTCTCAGTAAAAATGGTTGATTCTAAAATATTTCATAAGAATATTTAATAGTAATTAAATAAATTTGGTACAAAGTTAAATTACTTGTTTTTTTTTTTTTTTTTCAAATCAGGAAGACCTGAGAAAGAAACCTGGTTAGATATTTATTAATTGTGTGGCTTTGGAAAACTTAGACATCCTCACTGGATCTCCTTCTGGATCTCATTCTGCAAAATGGTGATAGCAATGCCTGCCATGTGCTGGTAAAACACTTGTCACAATGCCTGCCACATAGCAAGTACTCAATAATTGTAGGTTTATTAGTAATAGTAGCATTGGCATTATTATTACTCTTAGTATTGCTATTAAACAAATCCTCAATTTTGGTTGTTATTTAAACTTCACTGAGTACATCTGCCTTTGTTAAGAAACTCCATATGGAATCCTGATGCATATTTTTTCCATTTTCATTCTTTTGAACAAAACATGCCTATAGGTAATCTATATATATCAGTTCAAAACAGTATATTTTAATATACATAACAATGAAATCTTTCCTATTATATAAGTAATTATATGGATATCATAAAGATTTATCACTAG